ACGGTGATTGGAAATATAATGGTACTTTGGGGACGTTTTATTTATCGAGATGAGAATGTTGCTGTGACTATGGTTATACGCAACTTGGCATTGGCAGATATATTGATGGGCTTCTATTTGATTACAATTGGTGTACAGGATTACCGTTATCGCAGCGAGTATTATAAGTGAGTAGTACAGAAGAGTATGTAGTTTTTTTTTTAACAATAGGTAAGTATGAAAGAATTGATGATCAAATTGTATTAAACGAAGATCACACGATTTGTACATTTGTACAGATTTGTACACTTTGGCAGTCACAGAGTGGTGTGGTTTAGAAATTTGAGTTGAGCTCAATAAAAATATTTCCGAACAACACCACTCTGTACCGGCAAAAATGTACAAATCTGTACAATTGTACAAATCGTGTGATCCCTGATTTAGTAATCAAATATTTGGTTGGAGGCGAGTTGGAGTTAAACAATGTTGGGTATACATACTCTTACTTATATTTTAAAAAATATATGTATAAGTGGTACACGATATCACCTGCGTAAACAAACAAGGTACGGTAAAATTAGTAGTAGATTTCAGAAATCGCAGACGAACATACTGGAACGTGTTTAGGCCCTGTCGGCGTCCCCTGCGGCTACGTAGACCAGGGTTCTAAAATGGAAAACATTTCTTCTAGCAGCGGTCGTCCCTCGGCATTCAATGGCAAACCTCCATGCACAAGCTTACCCTAAAATCCATTTACCATTCGGAGCCGACATAAACTGTAGGTTCCTCCATTCGTGTAACAGCACTAAGGCGTACACAAAATATTGGAAGAGACGCTCGGCCAAATACTTAGAAAATGCTTAAGCCCAAAATTTTATATTATTCACTGCCTATTACATACAGCCTATTACACATGCAAAATAATATTCAGTAGGAACTGAAGACTAAGGCCAAAGCTTATCATCTGGATGTACGCGGCTACCATAGGACCAATACTAACATACAAGCGGAAGTAGTGGGAATCCGGAGGGCCTGTACATTTTCTCAGATAGCCAGGCGACCCTTCTAGCACTTGCCTCACCGGTAACAAAGTCCAAAACAGTCAAAGATTGCAAATGTGCGTTAAACTCAACGGCCGAGTTAAAAGACATCTCCCTCATGTGGGTTCCCGACCATAGGAACATACACGGAAATGAGAGGGCTGACGAGTTGGCTACGGCCAGAGCATCTCTTATGAATCCGAAGCAGAGACAATAAACTGTACACGGGAACTCATCAAAAGGGAACTGCATTTGCAATTCGTACGTATAGCTGATGCACGTTGGATCAACCCTCAAACCTGCAAAAATACGAATAATATATGGCCGCACTATGACAAACGAAAGACAGCAGAACTTCTAAAGAGGTCGAGGAAAGATAAATTCAAGTTAACAGCCACGATAACAGCACATTGATTCATTGGCGAACATACGGCTAAAATGGCCTTTCATATAACCCTCGGTGCCGTAACTGTGATCTTGAAGGAAGTAAGAAAACGATCCTACACTATCTTTGCGAGTGGCCAGCACTAGCACGAATAAGGCCAACATCTTAGGGAGATCTCCAAATTCACCATTACCAGACTAAAGTGGATTCATCGAAAAATCCAAATGGTTTGACGAAACCGCATCATGAAAGCAGAAAAGGATCAAGGATCCCAGAGAAAGCGTATCAAAATAGTGCTATAAGCACTAATTAGGTCCTGGGCATGTCCTCAGGTCACGCTTCTATCAACCAACCAAACCTGCAGAAAACCTCTAATTGCTTCTCGTGCGTACAAATGAACATTTCTGGACTAGTTCAAGGCTATTCCAGACCCATGTTGGGACTAGTTCGGTATCATTCGGGGCCTGTTAGGGACAATTTCAAAACGATTTCGATACTTGTTCGGAATCATTTCGGGACCGTTTCGGAGCCTGTTTAGGACAATTTCGATACTAGTTCGACTTCATTTTGTGATTAGTTCAGAACTACATTGGGACTAATAAGGGACCATTTCAGGATCCTTGCAGGACTTGTTCGAGATCATTTCGGGACAAGTTTACGAGTTTTTCGACCGTTTCGGGACCTTTTTAAGACTGGTTTTGGATCATTGAAGACACGTTCAGGAATATTGCAGTCCTATTTCGGAACTGTTTCAGGACTACTTTAGGAACATTTCTGGACAACCTGAGGGCTATTTCAAGAACATTTCGAGACTAGTGCGGGATCATTTTGGGGCTAGTAATGAACCGTTTCGGACTCCTTTCAAGACCTGTTCGAATTGCTTTCACGACTTTTTCAGAACCACTTCAGGACTACTTTCGGTCAATTTCATTACTAGTTCGAGATCATTTCACTTTCATATTCATATTCATATTCATATTCATATTCATATTCGTAATCGTACTCATACTTATATTAGTTTCTCCAATACGCATTCAATTTATAATAACTTATAATAACTTATTCATTTATTCACATTCATATACATATCCATATTCACTTTCATAATCACATTCATATTCACATTAATAGGACCTACCTGCGGAAGTTAAATAATTGCTATGACTGAAATTAAGAATATTTTCCTTGGTCACAGGTAAGAAAGAACTCATATTCCAATGTACGTAGAAACTAATCTCAATGCAGACCTTTCAACATTTAATCACCATGTAATCGTCTTTCCTTCATGTAATGACTTTACTCATCTTACCTTTCTCACTTGCTGTTTCTTCTATTTCCACCTTCTTACAGAGTCGCACTCGATTGGATAACATCCTGGCAGTGTGCTGCTATCGGCTCCTTGGCCGTCACCTCATCCGAAGTTTCCATGCTAATACTCGCCTTCATGTCATTCGAACGCTTTCTACTTATCGCCGATCCGTTTCGTGGTCAACACCGCATCGGCATAAAAAATATTTTTATTGCCCTTCTGGTCATTTGGTTAATGGGCGTGGGCATTGCTGTAGCGCCAGTTGCACTCTGGCATTCTAGCACCAAATTCTATGGCACCTACTCGGGCACTTGCTTTCCGCTGCACATCCAAGAGCCCTACCCGCTGGGTTGGCAATATTCAGCTTTCATTTTTTTAGGCGTCAACTTATTTTTACTACTGATGATTGCTCTCCTCTACACAGCGTTGCTCATTTCCATTTGGCGTACGCGTAAAGCAACACCACTGTCGCTGTTGGATTGTGAGTTTGCAGTACGTTTCTTCTTCATTGTCCTGACAGATGTGCTGTGTTGGGCGCCCATTATAGCTGTGAAGATTTGGGTTTTCTTCAACTATAACATTTCGGGTGAGTAAAACGGTAAAATTTATTACACAAACATAAACATATGTACGTACCTATGTGCATTAGGCCAAACCATAAAAAAGGTTCGCCGTATAACTTTAGAGTCTAAAGTATTTTTGCAAGGCAGATTCGTAAAAAAAAAAATTATTTCTTTTTATACCGCCATGCCTTCGGCACTTACAGTAGGATCTATAAATATGATATATCGATGTTCTTGTCTCTAGAAAACTATTTTTTGTAACCTGTTCTAGTTTTTACCCGTCAGATCTCACTTCCTAACACCCTAACGTACCACCCTAATGCCGACTAAAATCATTAATTTTTTTTTTTCAAATCTACCTTGCAAAAATACGTTAGACTCAGAAGTGTGCAGCGAACTTTTTTGTTTGCTTGTACATAAGATGGTACGGTCTAATGTACATTCTATGTAAGTTACTCATACGCCGAGTCGCACTTGCAACAACTGTATGTACATATTTACATATGCATGTATGTACGTATGTACATATGTATAGTATGGACATGTAACTTAAGTGTGTGTACGTCTTTTGTTGTTTTTACGAGCAGACGATATCTACGCTTGGCTGGTTGTCTTCATATTGCCACTGAATTCCGCTGTCAATCCGCTGCTCTACACATTCACAACACCAAAATATCGTAATCAAATACTGTTACGCGGTTGGAAGAAAATTACATCGCGGCGTCGTGCTGAACCCTCCAACGGTTTAGCGACGACGATTGCAACCGCTACAGCATCCTCAAATCCGGGTGAGTTTTAGTTCAAATTGTTGGGAGGTCATTTCAATAAAATTAACAATTTGTTTTCCTCCTTTTAGATGAATCTTCGGGCAAAGCTATACCGCTAACAGTAAATCACTGAGGGCACCGAAAATACCTACATACATACATACACACATATGTATTTATATATTTAAACGCATCGATATGTATTTTCACACCACTAAGTGGTTGAGCGTGTAGTTCTACGACAAAATATTTATTATTTAATATGTATGTTTAAGTGTGTGTACATTTTTTAGATGTATCTATTAGCATTAAGTGCAACAATATGTATTTACAAACATACCTACATACAATGTCTGCTACCTCAAAATGTCGAGTACAAAAACAATTGCCGTAGCAGTTTATCAAAATACCAAAGAATAGAAATTGAGAAGCATTTATGATGCATTTACCTAAATAAATACATATAAAATAAACATACATACATATGTACATCCATGCATGCATAAACAAGTGTATTCCTGGCGGCTATTGGTGCGTGTATGTATGTGTATGCATATTTAGATCTAGTATTATATTTAAACGCTTAAACAATTTTGTTTATGGTTTCTTTTACGAACTTTTTTTCGGTGATACATACATACATACATATGTACATATGTACGGGTACGTATGGTATGTGATATGACGTAAATAATGTAGAATTTTAATACTTAGTATGTTTGTATATAAATATTGCATGATGTTTTTGAGAGTTCGTATTTATCGTAACTGTAACCGATAATACGCGCTTAAGTGATTTAAAATGTACGTAATGTATGTGCGTGTGTGGGTGTATTTATGTTAAAAAAAAAATAAGATTATTGTTTCAATAAAATGTAGTAAAACTCACACATAATGGAGAGTATCTTTATTCTTTAGATTTTGTGAGTAGAATATGGTATGTATGTATGTATATAGAAATTTAACATATACACAATCGTCGATAGGATCTGCTATGTACTCTGAGTGTCTGTTACCGAATTTGCGTCTCCGTTTTGCAAGAACCAGCCCCGGTATTGGAACTATTGCACAGTAGCGTGATTGGTAATAGCAAAAATATGGTTAATTATGCTCTAAAAAATATCTGTGTGAAATGTGAAAGTTTTTGGTCAATATCCTAGGCTCGCCCAAGTCCATCAAAATTCTAGTACAAAACAAAATTTTTTCTTAGCTAACTTCGATTCTCTACAAAAAAAAAAACAATATACCTAATTATGTAGGACTAATACTTTAGAAGATTATTGCAATTTTAGCAAAAATTTTCTTATTTCACACAGATTGTTTTTAGAACATAGTGAACCATATTTTTGCTATTACCAATCAAAATTCTAAAAAAAAACGGATTTTCGGCCCACGCTATTGCACAGTGTTCCCCGCCATAGGTCAACAATAAAAAAATGGACTTCTCTTTTAATGGGTAGCCATTATGATAAGTAAAATGTTTATGTAGTCTATATTCGTGTATACATACATATGTACGTTTTTATTAGCTGATAAATTTTTGTAGAAACGCAAAATTTTTTCTTAATATTTTTAGGTTGCACTAAAATTTTACTCTGCTTGCCACTCTTGGCCAATATCTTGTAGAAGCCACAAATGGCCAGATAAGTGAGGAGGCCTATAAAAAATACTTTATATTAAAAGATGGTTAAATCTTTAACCATTGGCTATTTTATTGAAAGTCTCCTGAAGAGAAGCAAAATTTTGCGATCGAGAAATATAGATTTTTAAGAATCTTATACCATTTCTACGAAAGTGTTTTTTTTCCATATATGTACATATGGGGCCTTTCATCGTCACGGTTGGGACATTTGTACATTAAAAGCGCACTTTCGTTTTTAAATTTAAGTATAAGGTACTCAGCAATTCTACATTTTGATAAAGCTGCACCTAATTTACTATTATAGTATGAGTTATTACCAAATACGAAAAAAATCCAACCTACTTGTATATGGAAAAATCTGAGGATAGTGCATTTCATATGGAAGAAAATGCCTAGCACCGCCAGACAAAAATAATTATTAAAAATCAACGCGAACTCCTAACGTCTTGAAATTTTAACTTTTAAATTGAATGGCCTATACCTATTTTTTTTTTTAATTCTGAATAAAAAGTTTAAAAGTTGTGGGTGTAATTATTAAAGTTTATTTAATTCTTATAATTTTTTGTACGAAGTTTAAAACATGGATTTAGGTGGTGCGGGTTATGTAATGTGCGTATAGTAATTTTTAGCAAAAAAAACCGACTTAAAAAAATATATAAATATATTTCATGATCCAATTTTCGGATTCAAACCAGATTAGTATGAGACCACCTCTGAGACACTACCTTTCCGATGAAAAAAGAATTATCGAAATCGGTTGACGTGGTCCAAAGTTATGCGGTAACATACATAAAAAAAAAATATATATATTCCGACGAACTGGAAACCCCCTCCTTTTCTGGAAGTCGGTTAAAAATATCAACATTAAATAAACAAAAGAAAAAACCCAATTTGGTCAAAATGTCACTCATCGCTTCTTTGTGTACGACCATATACAGTTATAAAAATTGAATTTCTGACACTTATAATCTGATTTTTAAGAAAAATTCCAAGAATGAATTTATATAAGCCCATTCAATTTTAGTATAACAAAGTGCAAGTTTGAAGGAGTTAGAAAATCGCGTTGATTTTTGGCAATTTTTTCACGCAGGTTCTTTCATACAAAGTATGTTCGACAATTATTTTTTGTGTAGAGGAAATGAGCAACACCTTCCACTTAGCCTATACATTCTTATTAATTTATTTAAAGTGAAAACAATGTTGTTGGTCATATATTTCTTTCTTTATACATGTATGTACATGCATCATTATGTACAATCAGATCTATTATTCATATTCAACTGATTTAAAGATACGTATTTTGGCTCATGCCATCTACATTTCGTCGTTTAAAGTACAAAACCGCGTATCAGCAAAATGCAAAACCGCGTATCAAGATAAAGCAAAACCGCGTATGTGAGGTTGCATAAATTATTTTATAGAGAGTAAAAACACTCGTATTTCAAAATGGTTCTCTTTTTTTACTAAGCAATCGCACTTCTGGCTAGTATATTTCAGGGCGACTGGATAAAGATTGAGTCAAGAGCTTCAGTGAGCAAATCCAATTTTTGGCAGCCAATGTCAGTTACGCGGTTTTGCAGAATGACGATACGCGGTTTTGTACTTTAAACGACGATATGTACATCAACAAAGAAGTATTTCAAATACTTTTTACTTAATTATACTTTTGTACTTCTAATAATTCATTTCAGACTTTTTGTGTTATATATAAATGAATGTATACGTTTATATACAAAAAAATGCAGCGTTAGTTAATCTTGAGCACCATATACTCGTACTACAATCCTTCGAATGCTTTTCATCCCCTTGGCGTC